TACAAATGCCTGCCGTCTTAACACAAACACTGAATATTTTAACTCACTGAACGGTGAGCAAGAATGCGAAAAAAGATGTTGCCTCTTAGAGCTTGCTTAAAGCCACTGCTTATTATCTCAAAAAAAAGCACCGATAGCTTCCACACCGTATGACAGATACTTACAAAATAAACTGTAGGACAGCGCCGATTTATTCACACAGCTTCGTTAAGGCAGGATTGCACGGCAGCCATCAAATAGAATTATTTATAATAAAGTAGATGAGAATTCACCTTTAAACTTCCGTAACTGGTCACAACCACAACACGCCGATAATACCCGTATCTCGCTACGAGTCACCGGAAGGTTCAAAAACACGAGACTAAAATGCGTTTGCACAATGCAAAGATCCGTTCTCATTTGTTTTATTCAACATATATATTCAAAATATAATGTATGAAAATATGTTAGAAAAGACTAATCGTTCGTTAATAGCACTCACTTTCGTTCATATAGTATACAGTCAGTGGTACAAGGGTAAGTTTATATTTACTATTGTCGTTTGTAAAACACGCCACTAGAGACCGCTCAAACCTCACGCAAAAGTTAATTTTACTATCACACGCTGTATATTTGTCGGTTGCATTTTTTTAAAGGGGCAATGAACTGCAAAAATATTTGGAACCTAAATTCAGTCTGTTTTATTTTATTTCTTTTTTTCGTATGTAAGTTATTATAATGAGACATTTCTATCGAGATCTGTCAACTCTGATCCGACATTTCATCAGTACGGTAAAGCACTTCCGCCTGTGTTGGAACATCCACATGTAGACATTTCGACATCTGTATTTTTCATGAGAACTGTAAATAGTTTATGAAAACGTACACAAGTGCTGCGAACTACTTTGACCTAGTCATCGTCACACATTAAAAAGCATTGGCAGCGGTGGGATTCGAACCCACGCCCCCGAAGAGACTGGAGCCTTAATCCAGCGCCTTAGACCGCTCGGCCACGCTACCCATTAAACACTATTGTATAGCCAATATTTAAAAAACGTTCAACGTTCTCTAAACGTCTCGGGCTTTTCTCACTGCATATCAGGTTTTATCCAGTGTAGAGGTTTATTTTTTTTTACAAGTAAGGAAGAACCTATTACCCCAATTGTAGCTAACGTTATTTAGAAGGAGTTTAATCATAGGCCATTTTTACACCTAGTTTTGTGAACATTTTGAGAACATCTATTTATTTGAATTAACGTTAGTTCAACATGACTCTAAGACCATATCAAGAATGCAGCATTCATGCTGAATTTGTATTTCTATATGCTATACGCTACACATTCAGCATGAATACACTATTCTTGATACGGTCTGCAGTATCTTTAATCCAACTCCAGCATCATAATCAAAAATAAAGAGTAGACAGATTTAATATAAACAGACGACTATAAGGAAGATAAATGGAATACAAAAGAAAGCATGAAAATTAAAGATGCGGTACAGATATGTTGTAGTGGAAATGGGGTCAATTCCGTGATGATTATGACCTCTGCTGGTGATTGAGTGACATGATTTTAGTGGTTGTGCGTATTATTACCGCATGTCTTCCCACAGCACTTAGAACTAGGGTTGATGTTCAACTGGGGTTGTTTATGCCAAAACGGAAAGATGTGTACCTTGACATATTTTATTATTTCATAAAATATATAAAAACTTTTAAAAGGAGCATATATGAAAATTTTCTTACATATACTTTCAGATAAATTGTTAGAATATTTTAGAGAGAGAGAGAAAAAACTATTATCTGAATGCAGTTCTTTCATCGAAATGCTTTACTTCATCTTCAATTAAGCCATTCTCCTCTGGTTTCGTGGAACCTGTCCCCACATGCCTTATAACTACAAGACAAAAACAAAGAAACAAAGTCGATTTTCACATTGCATGTCAGTTTAGGAACTGTATTTTTTATGATGAACTGGAACACAGTCATTCTTGCATAAAAAGGAAGTAATAAAGTTTAAAGATTTATAAAGTGATTTTAAGAAAATCTGATTCAATATTGCACATATAAATATATCACATCATATTTTGAAGTAAAGCATATTTTATAACCTTAAGAGGATAGATGACTTTTCATTTTACTTACCACTGCTGTCCAAATGTGGTATGACTCAACCCCTGGAATCAGAAGTCCTTTTGTATAATTTGTGTAGTTTAGGATTTTCGTAATGGAAGAACATACAAATAATGATAAAGAAGATTGTATTTGATAGCCTTAGTTACCATTCACTTTCATTGCATCCACTCTCTGTTAAACCGACAGTTTATTTATTTATATATTTTTATTTTATTGCTGTGAGAAATGAGAAATTGAGAGAAACTGTCCCCCACTTTTGACAAAATTGCGTTAAATCATTGAAATCTGTTTTTAGAATCCCACATTTAACTAATTTAATTAGTCTCAACTAAACCTTTGATATATATTTCTAAATATTAAAGAAATCTATTGCACTTCTTATTAATAGTTAAAATTGCCCTAATGGCGATGAAAGGATTTTGCATTATTGTCAGCATGGTCAGAGTATTGGTTGTGTGGTTTTAGATGTTACAGAAATTTCTTATCTGTCCGCTTTTCCAGTCTGTGTATGTCTAATCTGAAATACATTATGCATTGCATATTTTGTTTCACTGGTGTCAATGACAGTTCTTGTCTTCTGAGTTACATGACATAAGTCATATATTTAATTCATGTTTAATTTATAAACAAAGTAGTTAGCCAAATGGAAAAATAATAAGCCCATATGTGCCTTCATAAAACACAGCACTACATCAGTGGATCTTAAAACAGTGTGTCAGGGGGTTCTTGGTAGTACTGCATGGGATCCACCAATTATTGTATGTGAAAAAAGGCCTTCCTTGTTTCAGCTCTGCCATGGCCTCCTGATCTCCAGTGGTTTTCTGCTCCATTATGGTGGTCATCTCCTCCACCTGCTCCACCTTGATGTTTTCTATCTCTACTGGCTCCACCAATTCTACCTGATCCTCCATAGTCTCTGCCAATGCTCAATAACCCAGGCCCACCACTACTGATCCAGGCCCACTTTTTCTTCATGAACCTGGCCCCCTATCCATCCCCCTTGTCCATCTCCGCTCCACCACCTTCCTGGAATTTTTGTTGGTTTTAAGCTGGTGTGTTGTTTGCTCGTCGTCAGGAGCTACCATGTCTGTTTTCAGTTTTGTTCATGTTTTCTTGTCTTTTATTTTGATGTACTGTATTGTTATAATCATGGTTCCTGTCATGTCATATGATTCCTATGCCCCTCATGTGATCTGGTCATGCCCTTCCACTGTTCATAGGTGTGTTCAACTTGAAACGGCACTGCGCAAACCGATCTGTGTATGACATCAATGTACCGCAAGAGCGATTCATTGGTTTTCATTGGTTTATTTTATCAGTCTTGTCATTGTTTCTTTGTCTTGACTACATTTAGGTTTGTCTTGTTTAGTCATTAGTCCTTGTGTATATATAACCCTATTGTTTCTATTGTGCCTTGACTAGCTTTATGTAACCCGCTGATGGTGAGTCTTTGTCAAGGTCAAGTTCATGTTCTAGTCAAATCATCGTTGTGTTAGCTTTGTATTTATTTCTTTATTTCAATGAACTGCACGTGGGCTGAACTCTGCTCACCTTCAGCGGACTATATGTTACATAATGTATCCTTTGCAGTGAATGGGTGCCATCAGAATGAGAGTTTAAACAGCTGATAAAAACATCACAATAAGCTTAAGGTTTGTAATACAAATCTATCATTAAGATGTTATTAACTTGAAACTATTGCTTCCAGCTAAAATATGGGTCCTTTTTCCATGATATTGCTTTCTCCAGTAGAATTTGTCTCTTCTAAATCAAGAGAGAAATACGCACAGATGGAGGACCATTTAGCCTACAATCGAAAAGTCCAAAACAATTCTAAGTAAATGTGTTGGTGCGTTTTGATGTGAGAGGACAATTGTGAGAGATGTTTTTTTTCACTGGAGGAATTGTTGAATTATGGATTATGGACTGGTATTTTGGCCAGCAACCAAGGTTTAAAGCAGGGGAGTCAAACTCAGGTACTTGAGGGCCAGGGCCCTGCAGAGTTTAGCTTCAACCCAAATGAAACACACCTGATCCAGCTAATCAAGTCCTTTAGGCTTATTTGAAAACGACATGGTATGTGTGTTGTAGCAGGGCTGTGGCCTTCCAGGAACTGAGTTTGACACTCCTGGTTTAAAGTTAAAACTCCTTAATAATAGATTTGTTTATTAAAAACACACAGCTTTTCACTTCACAAGACATTAATTGATAGACTGAAGTCAGGTGTATTACTTGTGACGTTTTTATCAGCTGTTTGAACTATCATTCTGACGGCACCCATAAACTGCAGTGGATCCATTGGTGAGCAAGCGATGTAATGCTACATTTCTCTAAATCTGCGCTGATGAAGAAAAACTCATCTACCTCTTGGATGGCCTGAGGGTGAGAACATTTTCAGCAATTTCAACTTTCAACAATTTCAACTATTCCAGCAAAAGTTCAGCTAAATGTCATATTGTTCCTCCTACTTTAAACTCATTTAATCAAAATATATTATTTAATTGACAAGTATAAGACTTTAAATAAACACATCAATATTGACTATTTTAGTGTCCTTAATGTACTTTAATATACATTGCAACTACATATAATAAATATTTGTATACTTTCCTATATGCAAGCTACTATATATGCCAGGCTTAAAATGCGACATCAATTTTTATACAATGTTTAACATGCTCCGTCTTTCCATTCACCACAGGGTCCTTGACCTGGAAAAGGTCACCAATTTCGATACTTGTGTGAGCACCTGTGTACCATCTCTTTTGTTTATGCAAAGCACATTTACTCAAATTCAGCTGTGTATGTACAGTATCCATTTGCAAAAACCAAGGGAAGCAAAGCATGCACTGAGTCAACAGAGCAGCCCTAGTAGAGTTCGGACACACAGGGAGTGAGAGAGAGAAATGGAGAGAGAGGCAGGCAAAGAGAGAGGAGAGAGAGATCGATCATGATTGGGTGATGTTTAAGGGGTTGGCATACCTCTCTGCTCCCTACTGGGGGATGGGGATGGGGATGGGGATTCTAGGAGGGGCTTCACAGTGACCTCATACTTCATATATTGTAAATCTGAACCGGCATTTACTAAATATTCTGCCTTTAATCTAACCGCAGTGCAACGAAAGCTTACATCTATTCAGCATCTGTCAATCTGACCTCTGTATCCTTCACAAATCCAACGCACGACGCAGAGGTAAGTGAAATCATCTACCGTGTCCGCTAGAAAGGATTCTGCTTGTGCAGTCTATGTATGGCAAGGGCTCGACGCCTTCAAACAACCATTGTACTTGGATTTTCGCGTCTTCAAATTGTCATGAACATCACGCATTTGCTGTGTATCGTCTTTCTCACCCTTTTTCGCGTCTCACGGCCATTTTCCACGGCCCAAATTAATACCCCTCAGAGACGAAATTGAAATGAATGAAATGCAAAGAATTTGCCGGAGACCCCCATTATAGGTTTTGTTATATGTTGGCATTCATGTCGAGTTATTTGCGTTTGTTCTTCTCTGTGCGTGCGACGTTTTTCAATTTATGCCGGATGCCGGTAGTGCAACATTTGTGGAACGATGACAAATTTAGCGCGTAATCCAATAATAACAATGGAACTGTTTTGTAAATAAGTTAGAGGATAAGAAGTCCTGTCTATTGCCTCCCTGCTTGACGTGTCAAAACGTTATGCACAATGCATAAAACAAATTAATTAATTAATATTAGAATTTACTGGTGATTTATTTTAAACTCAAACGAAACATTATATGGATGTATATACAATACGTATTGCACGCTTATAAGAGTAAAATTTCTTAGCAAGGCTTTGTGTTAGATTTTTGCCTTAATTTTGTATTTGGAGTGAGTGGGGGCGGGGCGAATCAATAGGGGTCGTATTGCAGTGATGCTGAGAACAAGTTACAGCTTTGACTTTAAAGATGCTAAATGCACCCTTCGTTAAAGACATCATTGTATATCTGTTGTATTTATGTCATATTTATAGAAATGTTAATGGCTGACTTTGTAGAATACGTGACGTACATGTTGCAGTCGAATGTAGGCCAATGCGTGATTTTTGATTAACTGATGCAATGTGCTTATGTCCTTCTGTGCCAGTTTTGTACGTTTGTGCCAGTGTGAAGTCGCCACTCGCTAGGCCCATCATAGTTATTTTCCACTGGCACGTGAATGCCTATGCTGACGCACCATACCTCAGTGTACATGACATAACCACGAGAAGTAGGAGAGACGTATGGCATGGCCTATTATTAATGGACATGGTGTGCAGGCAAACTGCTGCAGTGGTGCGAGGCATGTGCCAGTGTCATGCTTGGCCCATTTAGTGGTGCTACTTTTGGTTTTAATGTGGCTCCACATACTGCAGTCCTGCATTTAATGAGCACAATTTAAGTTCATTGCATACACACACTTCTGTGCTTTTCTAGTATGTCTAGAAGAGAGGTATGTAGTCCTGATGGTCTGAATTTGACGGAACCCATTTTTATCTGTCAAGAATAATGTTTTAAGCATGCAAATTGTTTTTGTTCATTATGATGTTGTCAAGAATGATTGATGAATGCAGGGATCATTTACCCACAAATGAAAATTCGGTCATAATCTACTCTGCCTCATGTTGTTCCAAACCTGTCATGTTGTAATGTTGTTGTTTTTTCCGTGGATTTTTAAAGAATCTTTACACAGCTGTTTTCCATCCATTCATAGTAACCGTGGGTGTCATGCTCCAAAAAAGGACAAAACCCTACCATAAAAATAGTTTGTATGCCTTGTGTCATGTGATAGCTTTGTGTGAGGTTACCCCTAATGCTAACCTTGCGCCAGGTTGGAAGTCACTGATGCCGAAATGCAGTTGGTTCTAATATGTCTTGTAAAGTGCATGTAATGCGCCAGTTCAAATATGCAGGATGGAAATCAAATAAAAGCAGTCAAATGGCTCTGAATATAGCTTATGAGTCGTATGGGCTGTTGTTTTTGGTTCTATGAACTAAATGAACTATGAACTGGCATTGTATCAAAAAGAGCTGTGTGAAAATTCTTCAGAATTACTCCTTTTGTGTTCCGCAAAACAAAATAACACATACAGGCTTGGAACGACATGAGAGAGAATAAATAATGACAGAAGTTTTCTTTTTGGGTGAACTATTCTGTTCTGTATTTTTAGAATGCTGTTATGCACCTTTCTCTTCACATATTCACACAGAGCTTGCTGTATGTGTCGACTCCACTTATGTTATTATGCACATGTGACAGGACAGAACTAGCCATTGACCTAAATGTGTGCTCCATATTAAGACAGTTTATACACCAGATTGAGACTGCATGAAAAAAGCATTGAGAATGAATTTATTTAATAGGATTGAGTCTCTAGTACATCGTGCATAGGTTGATTTGCATTTGACACTTATGTATTGGTTGCTTTCTAAATCTATATGTTAAACATCTTTCTTGCTGAATTGCATTGAAGGCATTTAAAATCTTAATATTATGAAAGCAAGCGACATTATTTTTCAAGGTTATCCTCTGAGCTCCCATAATCTGGTCTAATGAACTTATATAAACAAATCGATGGGAGGGGAACCTAATGCATTGCAATGTATTGTCCTCTAGATAAAGATAGATTGAGACAGAAGGGAACATAAAATGAGACAAGAATTAATTAATTATATGATGCAAGAAAATGGATGGCCCAGTATATTTGATCAAATCCAGTATTATTTTCTATTATCATATTTTTTTATTCATATTATGTTTGATGCTCAGGTGAATGCATGATGTTCTTATTCAAAGCAAAGTGCTGGTAAAAAGGATAAATGTTTTCTTTGAATAGGATTTGATCTGTTCAGATTATGTAAATGTTCCACAATAAGTTTGTAGAGAGAACAGAGACATTCTGTAACCTTCCTTAAAGATATATTCATTTACGTCCTTTTGACTTTGTTAGTACGCCAGCCTCCTTTTGATGGTCATATTCTTTGTGAAATTTATGTGAAGTTCCTTATTCTCCCCCAATTCATTTTCACACCCATATCCATATTACATATGGTTATTTTTATACAGTGACTGACATATTTTTTCATAATATGCTGTTAAGATGCAAAACAGCTATAACATTTTGCCTGACTTGTTAAAACTGACAAAGGCATTGGGCATACAGTAAAACACAGTGTGCAGTGAAAAATAAACTCAGGTCTACAATGAGTGCAAGCTCAATCAGACTGAACCTGTTCTTTCCATAGAAGCCCAGTATTTAGAAGTACCAAATTTCTGGTCAAGTCAGACACTACACCATCAAATCATTGTTAAAGATTGTAGGGGTTGTCCAAAGTTGTCTATACTTACAGCTGTGCAGTGTGCAATAATCTCATGAGAGCCACCTTGACCATAGCAGTATCACAGTTTGAACAGAAAGTGAGAGCAGGTGTTAACTGGGTAATAATCACTTCTTGGTTGTGCTAATTTAAGTAAGCAGTCATTTAACAGACACTCAAAGCAATGCTCAGTATACATTTATTAAAAAGATAATCCCCCCTGGAGTAATCAGGGTTAAGTGCTTCCATACAGTCCATATATCACTCTTTGCAATGACTGAACTTAAAACCTTTTGACATTACCAGCCCAGATCTATAACCACAGAACCGGGGCATGGGAAGTGTCTCGTACAGTATAGAGCAGTGGTAGCAACACCAATGTCGTGGGTTCCAGGGAATGCATGAATTGATATAATGTATACTCTAAATACATTCTATAAGTGGCTTTGGATAAAAGTGTCCGCTAAATTCAAAAAGATTAATACAAAGGGAAGATTCCACAAATATTGTGGTCAGGTTCTCTGAAGAAGTGTTGTTATCTCTAGTGAGCAGTTCGCTGTAAATCATACAGTACAGAGAACTTTATTAGTTGACTACATAGTCTTCATCACCTGGGTTGTCATGATCGACTCAACAATGTGGTTATTTTCTTGACTTCATATTTTGTTTTACCCCAAGCATGTTTAAAGTACCTTTTTGCCTTCTGATGTTATACATTTTCACATTCATTCTCTCCTTCAATGTGACGTAATTGTAATAACTCTGCCTGAGGCAACTTTAAAGTCTATCCCATGGAGAAATGACAAGTCCTGTGATATAACAGCAGAGAAGGATTTTTTTTTTTTTTTGCATTTATGTAACACATCTCGTTTGAAGATGTCATGCACAATATCTGCATGTTCACAAACACTAATTAACACATTGGTGCTAACGCCCAAAGAGTTATAGTTATATAAGGTTTGAGTATATTTTCATGCATCTTTAAAGAAACCAAAAAAATAAATACATTTTAAAAAGGATTGTTTGGACCTCATTAAGGGACTGTTATAGCCTCACAGATTGCACTAACCTGATGGAATTTGCTAATTGGTGCTTCGATATTTTGTTCTCTTATTTTGAGAGCTAAATTAATTTGAGGTTAATAAGGGTTACCCAGACATAGACAGGGCATGACTTAGGTTAGGGAAACTAGGGGAAGACATCGATTCAGCCCAATGGAAATATCAGTTTAAGCTAACTATCCCATTATAAATTGAAGGACAAATGAAAGACTACGAGAGACAGTCACATGGAAATTTGGAAATCGAATATCGCATAGCAATTGGCAAATGAACCATGAATGAATAGATTTTGTGACAGCCTCACAAAGTCCTGCCCAATGCATGTTTGCCAAACCCAAATAAGCTTTCAGACACTGAGGGTTTTCCCATTACAGAAGTGCATCAATGGAAAAGTACCAGGGCTTTCTCAACCGGTACGGGCCCAAGGGGGTGCAAACAATGTTTGCTCTGTGACTTGTTCGCGGTGTTGCTCCCATTGCATGGATTTTCAGCCTTTCAATCCCCGACACTCACTAGCCATGTATGCGTGCCTGCACACATCTGCCTACCCATCCGCTTCACCTTCCCCTGGACGTCTCGCACCATTATTTCCAAAGTCCTTTCAAAAAATGTTTTTATTTTCCACTGGGAACCAGGGCAGTGCTGCTCAGTGAGAATTAAAAAAAGGATTAAGGGTTCTGGCAATAGGAGGTGGACATGTCTGTGTATGTGCGTTGGCTGTCTCGCATTTGGGCACGGTTACAAGTTGCCGCTATTGATGCCAACCTGCTGGCATGTTGGCACGGGAAGATAAACACTGCGACATAGGCACAAACCTTGCACTGTAGTGAGCTGATAACGGCCCTCACACGGTTCGTTTTGTAAGGTGTTATCTTGACATCCTAGAAATGTAAAAAGCAGGAAACAAAATTTACAAAGCGAGAAGGTAAAATGTCGCATGCAAGCTCTTTTTGGGTCACAGATCATAGAAGTTGAAATCTCATTGTAAATCTCTTTCCATGGTTGACCGTGTCCATCCGCAGCTCTAAGGATGAAGATTGAAAACAGCCTGCCCTGCTCTCAACTACCTGAGGCCCCTCCTCAGACCGGGCTGCATTTTACAGTGGCGACGGAGGAGGACTTTGATGACATCATGGCCATGAGCAAGGATATCTATGGCGGCCTGGACTATCTGCCCTCCCGCTATCAAGCTTGGCTGCAAGAGAGCAACCGCACTGTCATTTTGGCTCGCAAGCAAGGCAAAGTGGTAAGAAAGCGGATATGAGGAGCTTATTGCAGTGCATGTTCCATCCTCAGAGGTTTAAAGGAATAGTTCACCAAAAATGAAAATTATTTACTCATTCTAATGTCATTCAAGTCCATGTGACTTTATTTTGGGCAAAACATGTAAAGAACATACAGGTACATACAGGAATTCTAAGATGATAAACATTTCTTTCACCAAAACTGAAAATATCTCATTACACTTGCTGCTAAAACGTCATGCAAAAGAGCAAAGACACCACACTGGCTTAGGAACACTCTTTACATAAACCAAATCGCACCTAATTATAATAATAATTCTAATAATGATTTATTAGAACTTACATTTTTAATTGATAATAAATGTCATAAATAGATCAAATATTTGTATATTTATAATAATTTCTATATTTGTATAAAAATAAAGATAAATATATTGCTTTTGTACTAATACATTTGTACAGCAAAATAAAAAGTAATATTTAGGGTTATTTATTAATTTATATTCACAGCTAATATTTATGTCTTAATTTCTTTACTTTCAAGGGTAAACCATCAAGCCTTTATTTTGGCAGAGAACTGCTGAGAGACTTTTAAGTTTCTGTATTTAGTTGAAAGCAGGTTGATCATTACAAACTGATCGAAATGCTGAACGCACAAGCATTTTGGAAATTTTGCGAATGCGAAAATGAAGTGAACCTGGTGCACATTATGTTCTCAGATGCACATAATACGTGACAAACTCACAGCGTGTGCAGAGATGGAGTTCACGTGAAGCAGCATTTATTGTGGCTCTGAGACATTGAAAATATCAGATCACGAATGAACACAATTCTACAGTTCACTGGGAAACATGCAGAGCATCAGACTATGTTTATTTTAATTACATCACAGCTTTGTGTGATGTGATAAATGCACTAAGCCATATCACGATTTCAGTTTCATTTTGATTAATTGTGCATCCCAAAATGAAACTGACAGAAATGACAAAAGAGCACCATAAAACTCTCTCTTTCCTCTATCGTAGATATAGCTTGCTTTTTATGCAACTACATTTTCCAGATTGCACTGGAGTCGGTGTGTGTTATCGATGATGGCGAGACCATGCTGGTGGAAGGGCTTCGTGTTGCCCCACAGGAGAGGGGGAAAGGTGTGGCAGGGGTACTTCTTCGCTTTTGCTCTCAATTGGTTAAGTCCAAGTACCCCGACGTTAAAGTCAGCAGACTGACAAGAGATGACCAACTGGGGCCAAAAGACTTCCAGAAGTACCGGCTCATCACCAAACAGGTAAGAACCATTTACAATAAAATATTCACATTTGGTTCAGAACTGAAATAAAAACAGCTAAAGCCACATTGTCTTCATTCTGTCACCTAATTCAAATGTGAAGGGAATCCTTCTGGTGCGCTTCCGTGCCGAAGACCTTAAATTACGCCTTGCTGATCTTGGGCCTAATATCACTGTAGCTGGGGAGGGTCTGTCCACCACAAACATCCTGGTACGTTTGGAGCCAGCAGAGGTGCATCAGCTCTTCCTAAGCGATGTTCTAATGCAGGGTGTCCTTCCCAATGCCACCATCGTTCAAGATTGGCAGCCCTTCAAGCCTCTGCCTAGCAACATGGCCATCTTGCTGAAGAAGGACATTGATTGGATGGTTGACGATGCCAGGCACCCAACCATGGCCAGCTTGTGCACCTTCCCGTTCCGTGTGCCAATCGGTGATGACTGGTACTACCTCAACATCGACATGTTTGGTAAAGACCTGACGCTGGCCATACAACAGCTGCTGTGCCACCTGAGGTGCCACACTGGCACTCTGAAGGGTTACGTCATGTGTCAGGTGTTCCTGGAGCCTGCGCTGTGGAAGCCCATGGCTGATTTCTTTAGGGAGGCCCTTAAAGTGGAGCTGGTGAAGGAGTACACAGAGCAGTGCGTCGTGGAGTCTGATGTCGTTTAGTCGAGGAGCCTCAGAAGCACCTTCCCTTAAAATTAGACACCAAACCTACATTAAAGAGAGGAAATTTAACATCTCCCTCAAATATGGCACCTAAAAGAAAAAACACCTTATATATCTACTCTAAAGGGACGAAAAAACTTCATCTCTATTCCGCTTAATGAAAACGCTCTCATAGGATTGAATTTATTTTAACAACAACTAATTCAAATAAAATGCATGTAAGTGAACAAACTAGAATAAATGTAGTAGTCGCTTGTTTAGGTTATTTAATTTATTTCCATATGCAGTGCTGTAAACAGTGGCGCTGACAGGACAGGGACTGGAAAAGAGGGGAGCAGTTTTAGATTATATAAAATAGGGACCCAAATTGTTCCAGGCCCTTTCATTTGTTGGCATCGCTGACAGTGAAAGCATATTTACTCATGCTGAGTTGAAAAGAAAACTGCACAATCTTTAGGGCACTTTATGATAAAAAAAAAAAAAAAGGGATCTCACTTTAGTGTCTGTTGCACTGTAGCTGCTAGAGTGTTTAGAGGAAAAATAAACAACATTTCTGGGACTTTATGACAGGCTGCCCATATGGAGATCGAAATGGTCTTCAAAGGGAATTTTAATTAACTTGAAAATACTAAAAATTTCCACATGGGGTAAATGTAATTTCAGACTGAACACCTTTCTAATACGCTCCTCGAAAAATGAGTAACTCTTCCTCTAAAGGTACTTTGCAGTGCTTTAAACTCGGGATCAAATTATAAATGTCTGGCTAAGAACTTGCTTATACATTTAGATTACAGTCTCAAGTTTTTGCTTTAAGTACTTGAACCTGTTTGCTAAAATGACGTTCTATCAGTATTTGTACCTAACTGTAGAAGTGCAATTTCAATAATACACTGGAATATTGCTAGAAGTACATTGAGTTAGATATGATTAATAACCAATAATGAAACAGACATGTACAATTGTTTTGGATTTATCATTTGATTTATATTTTAGTTCTAAAATAATTATAAATGGACTATTCGGCAGGATCACATCTAAATACAAAAGACAGGAAATATAAGTGTATGTACATATATAAAAATAAATTTAAATAAATGTTCTTGTAGTTCATTAAAAATCATTTTGTTTTAATTTAATTGATACATCACTATGTAGTGATTTTGTTACATCGTATACTTGTGATTCAGAAGAATCGTGATCTTAAGGAAATTCGTCCAAATTAGGTGCTCCAATAATTAAAAAAAATAATAATAAAAAAATGTAAATAATGATCATCTCTGAAAATCTTACGCTGGCTCTTGTGATTCACCCACGGAATCGGGAAAACAAATGAGGACAATTGAAAACCTGAGCAAAACAAGTTACAACTGCTCATCTCTATGAAGAGTTTTTGAAGTTTTTTAATTGATTTTTTGAAGTTGAAAGACAGACACAATTTATCAGAGGAGAAGAATGGATAAAATCATATAGGACACGTCATCTCCTTCTATTGGCCTGAAGTGAAGAAAGTAAAGTGAAGTATTACCAACATGGAAAAAGAAGAACAGAAAAAGCCTTTAGACATCCTCAGAACCATATTTAGTTCCTTTGCCCCAAACCCAGATTGCAGCGTGCTTTTCCCTGAAGCACTGTGGCAGAATGAGATTCCAATTCGGTTAATTTATGGCTTAATATATACATATGCAAATATATAATATAACTCATAGTTTAAGCACTCACAGAGTCCACCCACAATTTGTTAGACAGATTTGAATCCAAATCTGTATCCACTAAACTAAAGCCAAGAATTTCTTTATTCTTTTGACTAATTATGTGTCTGGTTTGACTTCATTTGGTGGATTTATTTTATGCCCTTGTATGAACTCTCAACATCCACTGACGAAAAGGAGGCCTCCGCTCCTCCTTCATTTGGACAGCTGCATGTGGGACTTGTATTGCGGTCAGTATTTATAAATGGCAAACAGGCAGTCTTTTTTGATTCTGAAAGTCAAGGCATTTTACAGATTATTAACTGTAATTCCAGTGACAGTTTATTGCATTTGTATAGGTGTACATATATATAAATCTATATGTTTGTTTGGAAGGGGGGGGTGATTTGAAAAGGGAATCTTGGTTCAAGTTCTTTTATGGCTGAAATCTCGAAATCCTTCATGTCTGCTACAAGCTTTCAGAGGAAATCGGTTTCAAAATAGACAAAAGAAACATTAATGCTTCAGTTTCCCATGAAAATGACATTTTCTCAATTGAAATACAGGCCTACAAAAGCTACAAATGATGTCAGAGTCAAGAGATGCTATTTTTAATTTGCCTCTAAAGCACTCGTCAAAATTCGACATGATGGATTAGAGACCCAAAATGTGTTTGGTATGTGTTTTCTGTTGTACATAGCACAGTGCATTTAGATTTAAGTGTTATGTATTATGTCGGTTTACCTTAGAGGTGGAAGGTTCCCTAGGTACACTAGCCTCTATATTTAGCTGTTACTTTCTTTTGTGTGACATTTGGTAATCCAGTAATCTTTTAAGACTTTATCGCTTTTATTTATTGTTTCTATCTTTCAGCTCCGCCTTTTAGCACTTTGGATATCTAATTGCCTTTCTGAGTATTTGTGAATTGTGCAGGAGGTTGTAACTCTATATTTTACACAGGTCCTAGTGCCAGGTCCACGAGACTATAAAAGGTTAGAGGCATGTGACCACCTGATGGTGGAGTGATGTAAAGGATACGTTGCCCCTTGTTTCGCTGGCACACGAGGAGCGAACTTTAAACCCATTTCTTTCAATTATGAAGTGGCTTTTGGAAAAATAAGACAGGTTGCAGAGGGAGATGAAAGATGAAGCCGGGGCTATGCTAGGAATAGGTGGCGAGGAAAGGACATGTGATCCAGATCGTGTTACCACTCTAAAAATGAGTAAATGTTCATTTTGTATTGTAAAGACGACAACAGTTAGACATGGAATTATTTGGAGCGCTGTATTTGTAAGAGAGGCCTTGTATTGGTAATTAGCCTCAACCCACTATTTAGGAGGACAACAGAGATAGACCAGCCCAGAGCAGGATATCTGTACTATCAGACTCGGCACTAAAGTAATACCTCGAGTGCTAAGTAATACGAAAGCAAATATATACTCAGACACTTGTTATCCTGTGTGACTGTGGGCCAGTTAAAGTTTCAGGGCTCGTCTCTGAGTAAGTGAAACTGGATCTCGAGAGTGTCATCTTGCGTATAACAAGGGTTCATCCCAGACTCCCTTTACCTTCCACCTGATCCCCGCTTGACACATGGAAAGAGTGAGCAGGAGAGGTTAAAATAAGAAGGCTGGGTTCCAGCTTTGTCCTTTGCCACGCTGCTCTGTACCTATTCCTGATTTTTACGTTATTTCATGGTGGCATCTTTAGTTTTTCCATTTTCCTTACTGCTTTGTAATGTTTATGAAGGGCTTTATGTGTATTAGAATCTGCTGTGTATTGTATGTTTTGTGAACGAGGGGAAAACCACCAGGGAGATTTGTTTTCTTTACTCCAAGTCACTATTCGAACGTTAAAAAAACTTAACTGAAAGCCTTATCCAGGTGATATCAGTTAAATTGCTGATTTGCACTATCAGAGCTTCAACTCTGCTTCTCCCTATGTTGTTTTCCATAGAAAAAAAAACATATATTGTGTCTATACACAGATGCTTCTGAAATGGCTAAATCACACAGGTATTTTCACCTGTGGTGCACTAAGCTATTTTGTTACATTCAATCTACAAATCTAATGCCGTATTTGGAGGTAAAATGCAACTAGATCCCAGTGCGAATTGTGTTTTATCTCACGCCATGTCAGAATCATCCAACTCCGATTGGATTAACCATTCATCTAGCTGTTCTGATGTGCTGCACTTTATACTGTAGATATGTAGATATTCCAAAGCACAGTGGGGATCTTCATGAAACATCAGTGTGGGTTGCTGTAACAGTCATGGTCATTCAGTGGATCGCGCTATATATTTTTTGTAATCGGAATAGGAGCGTGGGCCTGTCTGCGTAACGCTTTTAAATTCAAGGATATTTTTATTGGTGTGCTCCTGACTTTATAGACGTTAATAAAGCTCCTACTTAATGACCATTGTCTGAATAAGCCTCACTGTACCTGTCTGAAACCGCTGATGGACATATTTATTTACCACTATCAGCAAAGCAGGGACCATGATTTTTACAGACCTCAAGAAGGTGGTGGTTTGAATGTCCATGTCATCCATTCTCTTGATGCAGCAGTGGCTGTTGAGTTTGTTTTCACTCGAGTCTTCCCATTAGCCCTAGATACAAACTGGGTGTCATGTTTTGTGTGTTTGTGCAGAATATTTGAAAATCTCCTATGATGGGAAACTAATGCTTGTAAATGAGATTTAAAAAAAGAACTCATGGCCAACTGTCAATCAAGAGGGTGAATACAGTTTCAATGCTATAAAGGCATTTTGATTAAATGATAAATTGTTTTCGTTTTTGTTTTTTTTTAGATTTTTTTTGTTATTACCCAATTTGACTGCTTATTCTCAAGCAGTGATGTGACAACTAATGGAAAATATTTTAATATTTTGTTACCTTTGTCTGTTCCTTTTTTCAGAGATTGTGAGAGATGCAGAACTATTTTAAATACAGTAATTTTAAAAAAACCTTATAATCCATGAGAGGTTTTTGAAATGTGCATGTTGTGTGAGTGGGTGGGGAAGGGCTTTACAATGAGCATGTGACTAGATTTACACTGAGCACAAAGACCTTGTACTAATATATTGACATTTAGAACCTGTCAAACTGGAATTGGTGATAATTGACAAATTAATTAATGATTAAACTATTAAAAAGTCTAGACAGGGTATGTAAAAATGCTAAGGGTAAACCTTTTTTTCTTTTCTTTTCTTTTTTTAGCCATGATATACATTTTTAGATGCTATAGGCTATACTTCGTTAATTGTATGAAAGGATTAAAAAAAAATCTAATCACTGATCTTTTTTTTTCTCTCTTTTTGCTTGCAGTATTTTGTTGTAATTGTGTGCATCCCTATATACCTATTTCTTTGTATATTTAACAAATAACTCAGCTTGAATATTTTAATATACAATATATATTTAGAAATGTTTCCAAAACTAGAAACTGTCACTTCTTAAAATCAACATTACAGCAGCGGTCATTATGTGTAGACAGTGGTTTAACTAAAAACTGTAATTTGCTAGTATTGCTTATTTTATTTTTTTGTAGTTTGTACTTTTTTCTTTCTTTTCTTTTTTTTTTTTTTAAATTGAGTACAAATCCTGGCTGGTAAACTCTATGTCAGAAATTATTTGCAAAAATTAATTTCATTCCCAATTCTTTGAATTTAATTCATTCAATTTAAGTTTAAATTTGCCTATACTAAATGTTAAATATACCAATGAATGTTAGTAGGACATTGTAAATGGTTGGATGAACCAGAATGATCATCCAGGATGATCCAGAGCAGTTTAAAGTGTGACTAGGCATATGGTATGAAATAACCTTTTCTTATTTAAGTAATGGATATGCCACTGGCTATGAAACTAGTCCATGTGCACATGCTCTTTTGCATTTTGTTACATTCAATTACAATGACATGTGTATGTTTAATATGTATAGGACAGGTTTACTGCATGTAAATGTTTGTTTTTCTGTAACATTAAACAATATGTAAATACTTTATGTAAAAATCTAGATAAAATCTAAATTCAGAGCTTGGTCTCTGCTGTCAAGTGTGACGAGAAATTCTACGTATAGTATCCCAAATATCACATTCTGAATGCAGTAGAAATCCAGATGAACCCCATGAAAACACAACTGTCATGTTTACTTTCTGCCATTTACAAAAAAGCCCAAAACCATAGGTTCAAGACAGTCTTTGACAAGATCCAAAATGTTGAAATTCTGTATATCTTTCATTGAGATCCTTGGAATTTTTGGAGAATTTTCGTTTTTTTTATGACTGCAATATGTGATGGAAAACAAACAAGAGTCACTGCAGTCTTTTTGAGGTTAATGTCAACCTTTTGTTGTGTTTTTGTATTACTTTACCTTGTGCATAATCATTTAACATTTCAACTAGTGTTTATGTTGTCAGAGTGTTTGTCATTACCATTGTAACACCGTAAGCGTAATGAGCTCTATCTTTAATGGCGACTGATGTAATGCGGTAATACATTTGCAAGATTGAAAATGTGGCAGATAACAAACAGCTTTATATGAAGACCTGTGGCTAACACTTTGTTGATCAAATGAATTTGTAAAAGGACTGGTGAGGTTTTAGCCACTTGCTTTAGTTGCAATGCAGTATCAGAATGAACAAAATGTATCTTAAATAGCATAGTTTAGATGTTATGCGCTAAGTGATGTTTTCAATTGATGTATTAGAATAACTGTTTTATTTTCCAAACTGTTAATCAAAACTTAGTGTTAGAGATATTTGTGTGTGTGTTTACCTAACTGTATATTGTACTGCAATTAGCAATAAACAAACAAGCAAAGAAAAAAGAAAAAAAAAAGAAAGAAAAAAAAAGAAAAAACTAAAACAACCTTTAAACAAACAAGGCATAGAATGAATTCAAAGTGTTAAGAAAAAAGGAAGTGAATGTTATTCTGAAAAAGTGAGATCCATACATTAGTTTTTTAAATATGCATCACAATGTGTATTATCAGAAAGCTCAGCAGATGCTTTCAAAATGACCTACACATTACACCAATCACGTTACAGACAAATACCAGGACAAGCAGCTGACAAATACACAGTGCTTGCCAAGCTAGGCCTTAGTCACCAAGAAGAAAATCCTTACAACTGCAGGTTTAATAAAACTTTGCCTACTAATTGCTTTAACTCAGGATGCTTGGTAGAGGCTACTAATCAGGTTTGTTGTTTAAGCATGATTGGTTTTGTTCCATAAGGATTTTGTTGATGGGACTATTGAACCCTGTGCTGCACGGTGACAGTATATTAACCATTCCAAAATATAAGATTGTGTCCTTGGGCCCACTATTATCCATAAAAACTATTGCACCATTATATTATAGAGAACCCAAGCACTGCCAGCACATCATGTAAAACATTTTGGCTTGGTAAGCAACAAACATGCAGCTAAAGAGAAGAGCATTATAGCATAAGATAAGTGAATCAAATGCAGTCCCATGAAAGTCAGTGTATCAGGGAATGACAAATGGAGAACGTGAGACGCTTCGCTGAACTATGCTGACATGAGAAGCAGCTGTCTCTGCAGCCTCACATTACTGACCACTAGCATTCTACTACTGCTGCACAAGAACAATACGGTGTCTTATAGATGAGCATTTCTTAATAAACACATAGAGGACAATGGGAATGTCTCAAATGTTTGGTAAAAATGGTGGAAGCCTACTTTAAACAGAAAATGAGAGATGGACAGCTGCTAAAGATAGGTTTGAAGAATTAAACCCATGCCACCTGTTCTTGGATTACAATGAACATTTCAGAAATGCATTGCACTCTAATACAGTTAAGTAAATCAAGGTGAGATTAAATAAAATGAGTCTAGAATTCTGACATCACAACTCAATCAATTAATTCCTGATATTTTTGGTCTTACGTGGTTGCTTTTGGAAGAGTGACATTTAAGGTGCCAGAGAATAATCAGAAACACTGGATTATAATTGGTTGAAAGGAGGCATGCCTATGTGTGTGTGTTTACTTAAGCACCTTGATTATTGTCTGTAATTTTATGATGAAGAGAAAAGAGAACATATATTTGACTTGCTTTCTGAGTGTGCCCATCTAAAAAAAAAGGAAAAAAAGGGCGAGGAAGTTGAATCCTGCAAAAAAAAAAAAAAAAAAAAAAAAAAAAAGGGAATGAATGAATGAAATCAATTCATGACAAGGTCCTTTGTGAATTATATAATGGCAATGGCCTAGAGACAACATCCGAGTGGAATTTACCCAAACTTTATTTCTTGCTATGCAGAGCTACGGAGGGGGATGGGAAGCACAGTGTATCGCAGTGTAATAAAATGCAGTGTAGATGGGGGCTGAGGTCAGTCTATGTGTGTTGAAGTGGGGGTGGGGGTTCAGGGTGTAAGACCCCATATGGATATTGAAGTAAGACTGGGTTAAAGGAGAAGAGGTGGGGGAAACTGGATTGTGCACATAAGCTGGCTTCATCTTTCTCCTCAGTGTACATACAAAACACATGCTATTGTGTTCCAGAGCCACAGAACATAGAAAAGTAGGGTGATGGATATGGTGTTACATGGATGCTTTATGCAACACTTCCTTTGCGAATGAATATAAACAAGTGTAAATACACACACACACACAAAGTAGAAAGACTGAAATAGTATATTGTGTGTGTGTGTGTATATAAACTATATCAGTCTTTCTACTTCATATAAATATATATATATATATATATATATGAAGTAGAATACATGTATACACACACACACATATGTACACGTTTTTGTATGTATTTGTATTTTTTGTATGTGTATATGTGTTAGATATTATAAAATTAGATAAGAGCCAACAGTATTTGGAGTAAATTTATATTTAACTGCAGGTAAAAAGGAGTCAGCAAATGTCTTACAATGCAGTCCAATGCAGTGCATGGATGTTTTCAATTCCACATTATGCTGACAGTGGTTAGAATGTTTGTCGAAACCTATCAATTAAAGCAGAAGTAATGTATCTACATCTGTGTGGGAGTAAATGGTCAGTTATGCATTGCATAAATTATATTTACAGCAACATATCCGCAATAAACTGTGTTAGTATAGGATCACATGCCACACACTATGCTCAAACCTCTGCATGTACACCTGTCCATCTGACAGATGGGAATGGGGGAGGGGTGGAGAAAGAGAGAGAGACGGTAGGAGAGAAAATGGGTCAGAGGAAGAAGCAGAGGATACAGAAAAAGGACGCACGTGTCTAATAAAAATAGAAAGGAAAATAATCAAGCAGACAGGATTTAAGAACAAAGCACAAAGCTACAGGGGGACATCGACTATGTTAATTCTGGATGTTATTTTAAGCACACTACAACAAAATACAATAAAATCTTGATCAGATGAATCATAATCACATAGAATCTTAAAAGCATTGTGAATAGACATGACAACAATATCAGAGTGACCAAAACGAATGTGCCTGAGTAAACGTATGCACCCATCCTAGGTTCTTCGTTCAAATCTTCCTATGGTATATAGACAATCGGGTTCCAAAGATTTTTTCCAAAGGCTTTGAATAGTCTTTAAGAGGAGCAGATGTTAATGGTTCATAAATAACTCAAATGGATTTGTTGAGGGTCAGAACAGGGCAGAGGTTTGTGTGTAAATGCATATGTGTGTCTGTGTAAGAAAGCAGAAGAGAGAGAGAGAAAGCAAGCAACAGAGCACATGGTGTGGACTGAGTGTAAATTAGGACCAAGGCCATTTATAGGAGAGAAGGGACGGTGGCTGTATAGCAAGAGGACAGAGTGACCTACACGCTCACTAAATGACCTGCTAAGAGGACTGCTTTTCTTGCTAGAAATTGTGCATGGTCTACATTGTCGTATGAGCTCAATTTACATATTGATAACTTTTAAATAAATGGGGAAATATAGATATAGTTGCATAGTTGACCCCTAGTTAGTTACTAATTTCTAAGCAAACAAGACTCACAGGAAATATTTGAATGGCTCCTAAAATGCAATCCAGTCTTCATCTAAAAAAAAAAAAGAAAATTTTTTGATGTTGCATTTAACAGATACATGCAACATTTTTCAGTGTTATTGCTACAAAATAAAATTGTTGTACAGTTTTAACGTCTAATCCAGTCATTTCCTTATACCTACTTTTTCTCATTTCCTTTAACATTTTCTTTTTCAGGTGGTAATTTCAGGTGGTAATTAGTTACAGCAACGTGTCTTGAAAGGAAATTAAATCACAGTGAGTCAGTCTTTCACCTACAATCAACCATTTTCAAAAATAAATACAAAACCTGTGTTAAAACTGAAAGAAAACAAGTTGACAAAATGATTATTGCATAATGAGAATTGAGAGATTTACAAATTTTAAAAGGCCAGTTATTTTTGAACAGGAACATCAAATTACACCGAAAAAGAGTAAAATGTACTTAATTTTTATTTAGCAAGTTTTACACATTTTTTAAAGTCAATTTAAGTATAGAATTGAGACAAACCTACTTAACTAATTTATGTAAAATTAAAGAAAATAAGTACAGTAAATAACAGTTAGAGTTAGAGGAGTAATTTCTACTCAACCATTTGAAGTTTACTCTACAATACTCTAGTACATTTTACTCAATCATTATTGGTGAACTTCACTCCAACAACATAGCACTGAAAAAAGCCATACTATTAAAGCACATGGTTCACTTAGAAACATTTAAGTTAACAAGGCAGTAGACAGCTAATTACACTTTCTAAGATAATACGTCTACACAAAAGTTAACTTCCAAATGAACACAGAGACCTCAATACTTGGTACACATACAATGACGCTAACATCAGTGGATGTTTGAGTATAAATGGGTCATTTTGAGTAGAAAATTAATGTCACAAAACAGCAAGTTACTAAACCTAACAACAAAAGCAACCATAAAGCAGTGTAAATACAACTCAATAACAGTGAAAAATTCAACCTTATTAATTATTCATGCCCCATCATGGGACCACCAGTATCATAACTTTGATATTTACTCAAAGAATCCATGTAAACATAACAAACAATTCCAAGTAAAATATACTTATGAGTTCAAACTTTAATTTCTACAAGCTTGAATTGAGTACTGATATAGAATTTACTCTTTTTTTAAATTCTTGCCTGAACTAAATTATTTAATGTAGAAATTACATTTGTTTTTCCGTAGTATTAGAATAATTTTTATCAGTGTTGGTAATTTTACAAGCACAAGCGCAAATGATAAACATTACAAGGAACCTCTTAAAGGTTTGGTGTTAATGGGTCTTACTGGCAGTCTTACAAATGGGGCTGTGGGGAGCGTAAGACAAAATAAGCAAGCACTGCTCTAGAATGTCAACACAGCCCTAGCTTGAAGTTATGTGTGTGCATGTCTGGTCGTCTCAGTTGTCACCTTGTAGTAAAATTGTTTAATCTCCTGGCTCAGCAATATATCACTTACAGTTCAATCAAGGTATCATTACATTAAGATTTAAAGTTCCTCTCAGAATAAAAGGCGATGTATTTTCCATTAACATATTTGATGGATCTTTCCATTGATTTGGCCAGCCCTTGCAGTTTCCATTAAATTATTCCATTTCCTCAAAACGTAAAAGTTACCACCTGTTATATTTTTTTCCCTTGTTCTAGTGTGTTTTTAAGCTTATGTGGTGAGCATGACTTTGCTTACAGTTTTTGCATATTCATTTTTAAATATCATATAATACACTACTTGCTTTATACTGTTAAACTTGAGGTGACAGCCATTTTCTGGGTAGAAAGATATGCTTGGTGGAAACTCCCACGTTCAAGCATCATTTCCTTCTTAGAGACATCAAAGATCTGACTGAGTTGGCAGTAAAAGTAAAAGAAAAAAAAGAAAGAAGATGAAGTAAAGGCTCATTCAGATTAGCTGATGGTAAGACTGACAGGGAGAGAGGTCTAGTGTGAAGTCAGTATAACAACACAATAAAAAAAAAACAACAACAACAGACAAAGCAGGAAACAGGCGGAAGAGAAAGCCTATGTTGGTTTAGCTCGACAACCATGAGCAGCAACTTTTTTTGCGCTCTTCTCATCCTTGCCTTCCTGGAATCAGGTAAGTGCATATTGTGTGAATTAACTAAAAAAAAACATGCTCATATGTATGTATTTAAAAAAGCGTATGGACAACCAAAAAAGTCTGTGGTTATTAGTTTGAGTAGACGATGCTAAATTTATTTTATGCATTCAGAAAAAGAACGGTTAAAGCCATGGAATGACAAAAATTATTCTATGGTAAATCAAGACATCATATATCTTGATACTGATACCATGCATATGCTCACACAAGCATAAGCCAAGGCCTTCACACGCACTGCTGACTGCTTTCTTACTAACTGCACTTTCACTGATAACATCTTACATAAACAATATCATCAATATCAATCATATTACTTACTATTGTACCTTAGTATTATCATATTATATAGTATTATAAATTTTCATTAATGGGTTGCTTTTATAGCATATTTCATTTTTGTCCTGTGATTCACTTTTAGAATTCAAATTGATTTATTCTGATTTGACAATTGATTTGCACAGAAAAATTAATACATTTAAACACACTGTACAAAACAACTTGGATTTTTCTAAAAGGTGTAAGATTATTGTAGTATATTTGACAAGAAAATGCTATTTATTTTCTAATTCAGTTCCAATTCAATTACTTGCTGTTTCTTTGTAAATGTTTATTACATGTAGTAGCATTTTGAGACTTCTAAACACAGCTTGTATTGTAGTTTCAACATGCGTCATTAGCTGCTCTCTCTAAAGCATTTTTGAGGGCAGTATATAAATTGCAGAAACCACTTCTGAAACTAAATTTAAAACAAAAGCTTCCATAATAGCATCAGATGTTTAAAGAAGGTAATGCAATATTGTTTTTAGTAAATAACAAGTTTATAATCATAAAGATTTACTGGTGATAGCTTTTCTTCATCAGTAACAACACTAAACGAACTTTACTAAGCATTCATAATTCAGTATTTTTAGTATTTTGTCTCAGTGATCCATGTAATATCTCTGTCAGTGTGTTTTCATTTGTGTTCTTTAACAGGCAAATCAAACAGTGGTGTATCTATTAGTCACAGTCGAGATGGAGATGGCCAGACCATTACCTGTGTCCTCTCAGGGGACGAAAACATGACACAAATCAACTGGGAGATGCTAAGAGGCCCGAATCGCACGAAACTGGGCACGTATCACCCACATTTTGGAGTTTACATAATGCAAGAATATGAGACTAAAGTAAAGATCAAGAACAAAAAATCTCCTCATCCATCATCATCCCTTCTCATTAAAGTAGCATTAAATGAGAGCGTGCTAATCTGTTGTGCGTTCATAACATTTCCTTCGGGGAAACTTGAGCAGTGCACTGATATCAGTAAGAAAGATGTCAGAATGAACACGTCTATGATCAAAGGTAAAGTGTACACATGTAGTCCTATACATACCTTGCCATTCCTTTGGGACTCTTGATTTTTTGTGTGATTTTTTTTATTATAGATTTTACATATGTGGAACCAGAACCAAGGCTGGGATTATTTGGACATTTGGGTGCAATGATCATTGGAACTATTCTCTCCCTTTTTATCCTCACCATCCTTTTCTATTTATGCAGAAAAAACAGCTGTAGAAGGTAGAGGTCACATCTTACAAATATTTACACAAAACAATAAAAGACTAATATTTCTATACTTATATATTTAAGACCAAAACAAAGCAAAACCTGTATATTAAACACTTTAAAACGTATTTACAAAATCCAAGAGAAAAATCATGGGAAATTTGACCTTGCAGGAGGAAGTCCTTTAAAATACGAACATACTTGCCAGACTCACCGGCTGAGGTAAGACATAACGATAAAGAAGAAATTTAAATAAATGATACACTTTTTAAAAAATCTAATGAATAACTTAAATGAGTTAAATTTTCTGTCATTAAGATGAGTGTGGTTAATATTCTACCATTATAAATGCTAAATGTGACTATTCACAAAAACATCAACACCAGTTACAGTTGAAAAGGTATACTGCAGAGTAAAAGTGTGAGAACTGCATTATAGTGAATTTTTAACTGGGCCATTTCCTTTCAGTCTCAAATGCACTTTATTATAGTCAGTGATTGCATTTAAGGTATCAGTTTCCTGTTATTTTCTTAAGAACGTGCGTGGTTGTGGTTAAAGTTTGAGCGCTGCCAATTCTCATGACCCTTGTTTGTGGCAACATGATTTATACAATAGCTATATATATATATATATATATATATTGTTTTAACACATTTTAATAACAATAATAAAACAATTCTAAACAGTAAATCTCTCATTTTAGACATTTGCTGAAGAATCAGTTGATGCACCAGCTTCTCAAAGTTCTGCGAATGGCTTTGACCCCTCAAAACTTTATGCCAAGATCAAAAAAGACCTTTTCTATGGCCGGCTGTGGAAGTCTTACCAAGGCCAACCCAAACCATGGACACAAGGTACCATGACTGATCAAGGACACGTTTATCACCTGTTAGGACAGAGTCCCTTACCGCAAAGAAATGTGGAGGGCAGCCCCTTGAGGCCAGAAACAACAGAAACTACAGAACAACATTTCAGTAGTTTTTAGTTTCCAGTCTTTCCAGTGTGATTGAGAGGAACCTTGTCATATTTGGGTAATATAAAATAGCTTAAAGCAGATTGCAATGCATTATATAAAGAAAAGAATGAATTAATATTTTAAATTAATATGAAAAGAAATTAATTAATATTTTGTTTTCAGTTTAAAATAAATAAATGTTTCTAACACTGAATAAACTTTTATGTGAGAATCAAACAGACATGCAAATCTCAAGTCTTTTGTCATGAGTCAAGTCTTTCAAGGCCAAATTGAAAATAATTTTGAATAATAGCTATGCTGCATGTTAATTCATTTATTATTGTTTTGTTGAAAAGTTGTGTAAAATTTTGCTGAAATAAAAGGATAATTAACTTTAATATTTAATACCATGCATTTTTACGCATGGTATAACTTTTATTTGAATAGTTTCACTATCCAAAGAGAAAGAGAGATAGAGAGAAAAAAACACTAAACAAAATTATTCTTTTTCTTTTTGTAAATCTTAGCATTTCCGTAGCTTCCGTTATCTAGCTCTTGTTCTGGTTTATACTTCCTGCTTGCGATTGTAGGTTTCCATAACATTTTAACCTGTGAGCATAAACTTTTTTAGACGTTTTTGTTTTGTTTTTTAAATCGAGGCCTATTAAACAAAACTGCAATGTCGCCTTCTACCCGCTTGGTGGGGCTACGATACTGTTATTGAAAAGAAAAACTAGGAAATGGCTTCATTTCGTATCTCGACAAGGCTAATGTGTTTATCTCTTAAATGAATTTTGAATATTCTCGAAACGTATCAGAGATCTTTGTGCCCACTATATCCAAATTCACTCTTATGTTTGGATAATTATTGACATACTGTTAAAGATGACATGCTGCTTTACTTGTTAGCTATCCAAAAGAACGATGTCCAGACTGTGTAAAGGCTGGACATTTTAAACAGTTTTACAAGCCTGCAAGAGTTTGAAGTCCATGTTCGGCCGAGGGGAAACTTGTCACATCCTGATTGTGGTTGTCTGGAACACAATGTCAAAAACACATGACTGTCGATACGTACGCCACGCGGTAAGTCCTGCAGACTGAAACACATTTCCTATCAAAACACCACATTACTGAAGTAGAAATCTTCTGCACCGTTTTTAGTTTATAAAGATATTTGAGGCTAACGTCGCTTGTAAACTTATTTTAGCCATGCTTATGACGTGTTTTTAAAAGTAGGACGTATGGTTGTAGTTGAATTTTAACAGTCCTTTAAGTGGTTAATGTGACCAGACCACATGATCATAGCAAGACCAAATAGCTTCTTCTTTGTAGTAGACTGTCATCCAGACTAGAATTATATTAAGTTTTTGCTTAATGTTATCCACAGTAATAGCATTAAATGGTCTCATAAATTGTTACTACATAGGCTAAGTAGATTGCATCTGGTTTGGTTTGAAATATTTAGGCTAATCGTTTCATTCGATAAAATGATGGTTTTTAACTTTTAATATAATATTATGTATTTTATATTTTTAATATAATATAATGTTGTTGTTTTAATCTGTTTTTATTTGTTACTGGAACTACACACACACACACACACACACACACACACATATCTGTGTTTTAGAATCCAGTTAACCTGTGCAGAATTATCAATGGATTCACATTGTGTGGGTGAAAGTGATGGACTGACCTTCTGTCTGGCCAGACCAGAGGATTACGATGACGTGATGGCCATATCACAAGACATATATGGTGGCAATGACTACCTTCCACATCGCTATCACTCCTGGATTACTGAGCCAGGGAGAGTGGTTATTATAGCACGGAGAGATAGGAAGCTGGTAAGAGATACAAAAGGAAAAAGGTTTGTTTTCTGATTTTAGTTTTAACCTCAGCCAAAAGCTGTAAAGAAATATTAATTGTCATTTTTAAATTGCACGATTGTTGCATTTATTTTTCAGTTCTATCTTGATTTTAGCAAGTAGACACACACTTTATCATAAACATATATTATGTTATAAACTCAAAATAGGATGTCCAAAAAATTACATTAACATTTAACATATACATGTTTTATAATTAATGGACTATTCAAATCACTAACTGTTATGATAAGAAAAAGTTAATGGGTAAAATAAGTCATGATGTGTCTATCGAGAAATGCCATGCTTGCAGTTCTCAGAAAGACAACATTTTAACTTGTGGCTTAAATGAACCACATCAATGTGTGTGTTCTCTGCTGTGCACATAATTGATTGACTCATGACCCATATACTTGAATGCAGTATCTGACATTTATAACACTGGACAGTTTTGCTCTTCATATACTTAGTCTAGGGTGGTCAGATAAGGCCAGCAGCACCATTGTAATTGTTTGATTCTATCATTTCACTAGTATTATATTGTACTGTTACACACTACTGAACCTCTACCGACTGCCCTAAAGCTCCATTAAAGGGATAGTTCACCCAAAATGAACATTCTGTCAGTAATTACTCACCCTCATGTCGTTTCAAACCCGTAAGATCTTCGTTCATCTTCGGAACACAAATTAAGATATTTTTGATGAAATGTGAGAACTCTCAGACCCTGCATAGACAGCAACGCAACTGTAATATTCCCAGGTCCAGAAACGTAGTAAGGACATCGGTAAAACAGTCCATGTGACATCAGTGGCTCAACTTCAGTTTTGCAAAGCTACGAGAATTCTTTTTTGTGCGCAAAGAAAACAAAAATAACATAATTTATTCAACAATTCTTCTCCACCGAGTTACGTCTTCTGCCATTTTGGAGAGTATCCAAGAACATATTCGACGTAATCAGCGTTGTTTACATTCGCAGGGGAAAACGCGTGCATGAACGTAATCAGCGTTGTTTACGCTTAGGGGAAAGCGTGCGTATGCATTGTGATACTCTCTAAAATGGCAGAAGACGGTAACTCGGGGGAGAAGAATGGTTGAATAAAGTCTTTTTTTTTCTTTGCGCACAAAAAGTATTCTCGAAGCTTCGCAAAATGGAAGTTAAGCCACTGATGTCACATGGACTGTTTTACCGATGTCCTTACTACGTTTCTGGACCTGGGAATATTACAATTGCGTTGCTGTCTATGGGAGGGTCAGAGAGCTCTCCAAATTCATCAAAAATATCTTAATTTGTGTTCTGAAGATGAACGAAGATCTTATGGGTTTGAAACGACATGAGGGTGAGTAATTAATGACAGAATGTTCATTTTGGGGTGAACTAACCCTTTAAGCTACTAGGAGCATGTTTTTGTAATTAGCATGTTGAATATTAAGAAAAGCAGACCACTTTTACTCTTATTGTTAACTAACAGTACTTTATAAATAGTATATTAATATTTTTAATCTCAAAGATGAAGGAAAATCGATTCCTCATGATTTGAAACATGAGGTAATGTTTTTAGTTACTCCTGCAGCTTCCAGTACGAAAAACAGTGTTATGCTGCTTGATTTTGCAAACTGGTATTTGTTGTCCTATTATTTTATGATCGCTATCATAATCACACTGGTACTTTACCAGTTTTTTCCCAGTTATTTCAACCTTTGCGATAATTATTCCTGTGTGCCTTTAGGTGGCTCTGGAGTCAGGCCTGCTGGTTGATGGAGGTGAAACTGTAATAGTTGAGGGATTAAGAGTGTGTCCAAACGAAAGGGGTTGTGGTCTGGCTGGAGTGATCCAGAGATTTGTTGATGGCTACATAAAGAGGGTCTACCCTAATGCGAAGACCAAGCGCCTCACCAGAGGAGATGACCCAGGGCCTGAAAAACTGAGCAAGTTCACGCTTCTGGCCAGACGGGTGAGTTAAAACTGGAAAAGTGATTTTATTTAATGTATCATGAACAAAAATTAATAAACAATTAACAATAGTGTACTTATAAATTAACACTAGACTAAATAAATAGTTTATGATACCTAATTTATTAACAAATGCAAATTATTAAATACTTAAATGGAAAACGTGTTGTAGCATCATACCTTTATCACATCTTTCTTTTAATATGTTCTAAATCAGCTGCAAAAGTAAGTTATTCATTTAAAAAAATGTTTGCTAATCAAAATACTTTGTAATCTGCATTTTGTATCTCTCTTTATTATTTTTGATAGTTGTTTTAAATGAATTATTCTTTTTTTCTTCACTTCCTCTCACTACCTTTTGATCCATACCACTAATTCATAGTTTTCAGTCACCTGGCCGGTTCGAAGACCTGGAGGGCAAAACATCCAAAGAACTGCAGCACAAGCATGTCAATTTTCCATATCTTTCCTTCCAATCTACAAATATTTAGATCACCTCTCAAAAGAATAAAATGAGGACATGTGAACAAAATGCAAGTTTTGGCCATTTGCAATCCACATAAAGCAGCTGCCGCAATATTTCAATCATTAAAAACAGCGTGACATTATAAAATGTTTAATGTGAAAAACACTTAAAGTGCCTTAATGTATTAAAATAATGATATTAAACGATCTAATTCAGTACACATCTTATTGATGATGCATACTTTATATAGGGTTCATCCACTTGCCTGTACAAAGTATGCATAATCAATATACTGAATTTGGCCTATAATATCAGTATCTTACTTTGTTATATTTACTGCATACTTGGCGGTCAGTGGAGGAAAGCCTTGTTTTGCCCTTCAGGTGGGCTTTCCTATAAGGGTGTGACATCACATGAAAGCTATGAATAGTAATAGCACTAAAATTAACAGTAATTTATTTATTTTTTTATCTGTTTTCTCTTTGTGTCTTTATAAACCAGGCCATTCTCTCCCTATGGGGGGATTCTGAAGGTTTTGATAGCTTTGTCTCAGGTCTGAAGGAAAAACTGCTTGTGTCTGATGAGTCTAACAGTAGCAGTCCTTTAGTGCCAGTAAAGGACTTGGATGCTCTTAAGACCCTTCTCTTGGATTCAGACTTGTCTTCTAGACTTCAGCTTCCAGGCGGTGCCATCATCCAGGATTGGCAGCCCTTGAAGCTCATGGAGAGTAACCTTCACATCTTGGCAAGGCGAAACTTGACGTGGTTTGTAGATGGTTCCGGTGGGAAACCCCTGTTCATGAGCTTCCACACACCTCCCTATCCTATTCCCTTTAACGGGGGGTCTCTACGCTTTAATATCGACCTGTACGGGACGGACACTTCTT